AAGATTTGCAAAAACTGCATGGATCAAAATTGAAAAGTAAGAACATTCATACTGCCCCCTTTTTTTTTTAATCAGACTGTTGTGTTTAACAACCATTTTGTTTTTTTAAATTGAAAAAACAACAACACATTTTTGGGAGTTTTAAAGTAATTTATTGGTCACTTTCCTGTCCATTAATAAGTTATTTGCAACAGTTAAGTAAAATATAGGGGAGATTAAAAATAAAACATAAGAAGTTTTAAGTTCTACTTTTAATTTAATTTAATTTAGTCATATGACCTATTCTTCTTCTTCTTCTTTTTTTCTACTCCTTGAATGCCTAGTTGCATCAGTGCAGGAAGAGATCTCTGAGACAAGCCCTTCTGTTCGCTTTGTACAAAGTACTTTTCAGTGTCTGATATTTTTGCAGTCCATATTCTGCGTGTTCAACCTCTGGATCTGTTACTGCTGTATCTGTATACCATTGCTCTCTGAGGTGCCCTGTCTGATGTCAATCTTGTCACATGGCCAAACCATTTGATTTGTTGTCTGCCTATAAAGTTCAGTACTGGTTCTGTGTCGACTCTCCTTCTGATATCATCGTTCCTAAATTGTTCTTTCTGTTACACCTAGCTTAGAATGTAAACATTTTATTTCTGTCGTTAATATTTTCCTTCTGTCTTCTAAAAGCAGTGTCCATGTTTGACATTTATAGCACAGCATTGGTAAGAATATTGTGCTGAACAGTGTGTACTGTTCCTTTCATTCTAGTTGATTTGTGAGATCTCTTCATTTTCTACGAGCACTAATTAAGCCACTGTTGGTTTTTTGGATCAGTCACAGTGTTTTCAAACTTCCTAGAAGATCACAGTTGAACTAGACTATCACATTAGGATCAAACTGATAAACTTTAAATTGCACTTTTTCTTAGCATCATGTATCAGGTCCTTTACAATAAATTGCCCCCATCAGAATCTGCACAAAAGAAACTTGGTCTCTTGCCAGCAGTCCCACCTCTTGCACTTTTGTAACACAGTTGTTTCTAAAACCATCACTTGTTTATTAGGACATGTCATCAACTGCATATTAGTTAAATGCGTATGTGTTCTACTCCTGAGTATATCTGCATTGTGCACACATATATGTTTGTGTTTGGATTTCATTATGTGCATGTGTATGTACGTGGGTAGAATTATCTGCATGCACAGTTTTATTTTATGTATATATATTTGTGTGCGTTCTTGTGCAAGTATCTGTTTTGTAGTTTTATCAATGAATTACTTTGAATATTAGTTTCAAATTCTTTTTCAGAATCTCTGCTGCCACCCATATCCGATGAAGGTCGGTTTTTTCTATTGTGTAAATTTGCCCTAAAATGTGTATTTCTGATTTCTGTGAAATATTTGTTCTAAATTACTTTGACCTTCAAGGGAAGCCATTAAAAGAAAAGAGAGTCAAAGACAGCACCAGCAGAAAATACCATTGGAATACAAAGGCAGGAATTAATCAAGAGTGATGCACATAAAAGCAGTTTCCACCAATTTCTCCTCATATATGGAAGAGCATTCAGTGTGGTTTAGTGTGTCTGATAGAATTTAATGTTTAACAATTGATAGAAGGCTTTCTCTGTGTGGGATCCGGGGCCTCATTGTGGTGGGGAAAAAAGAATAGGCTCACTGCTTCCCCTACAAACAAGTAATAAAAGTCGATTAAATGGGGACTTCTTTCTAAATCAGAGTGCATCTGCCCGAGAGACAAGGAACAACCAACTGCACTTAAATAAGCCAGTAAAATGGATTTATGCGCAAAACTCAGGCCCTGGCACAAAGCCAAAGTCCAAATGGAGAACAGCCAGGGCTTTCCACCAGCGCTTACAGTGGTGAACAAAAAAGAAGAAGAAGAAAGATACTGTAACTAGATGAAAATAGTTGAAAATGATAGTCTATAGATTGCACAATAGTGTACACTGATGGTTCTGTACATGGAGGTGAAAATCTAGCTGGAGTTTTACAACTAGAGTGAAGGGAAAGGTCATAGACCATGAGGTGGTTTTACAGAAGAATGCTTAGAATACCTTGGACAGCCAAAAAGAGCAACCAAGAGGTTTTGAAAGAAGCGGGAGCCCGAAGACAACTTATCACAGACATCAGAAGGAGACAGTCATCATTTTTCGGCCATGTTATGAGAAGAGGAAAAATAGAACATGTTGTGACCACTGGAAAGATCTGTGGAAGGAGGGATAGAGGAAGACAACGAGAGAAGATTCTTAACAGTCTTGTTGCATGGCATGTAGGTGTGTCATACGAACTGATACATGCTGCAGAAGATCGTGGATTATGGAGAGGTATGATCGCCCACGCCAGTCGGCAAGGCACCTGATGATGATGGATCCATCAAGAAAGGATGTGTGAGAGAAAGATTATGAGGTGTGCCCAACCAGTATTCTGTTAGAATGATCAGCATCTACACCTCGAAAGTTTTGATCTTCAAAACAGAACATCTGTGAGTATGTCTAGTATGCTTTGATGTTAATTCTGTGTCAGTGACCATCAGAGTTTCTCACATTAAATTTAGCTGCATATTTCACATCCTATTTGTGTTAGATAACCTATTGTCATGTTACTTACCCAAGCAAGCAGCATGTGGCACAGAGGCTAGAACTGGAGAGAGAGAAAAAAAACATACACATCCTTATTGGGGATTGAACACATCTCAGCAGAATGTGTGGTGAACTTTCTGACCCCGGGATTCACTGCTGCCCTAGAGTTAAAAGAAAAAGTGTATGATTCTGACACATTAGAATATAAAACTTAAATATCGTTTAAATAGTTATCTACTAATTATATTTCAAGGAGAAGGAAAACTTCACGATAGGAGCATGCACAGCAGGAGTCTATGATCATCAGTAGTTGTCCCCGTTCAACAAATGTTTTAGCCCTTTTGCCTCCTAAGCGCTTTCTGAGGGCGGGCCAACCCATGTCATGACTCACGGGCCTTGGACTTCTCTGGCTGCACTCTCAGTCAACATTCGAGACAGCTACATTACTGGTACTGAGGTTAGGGCATCGCCTCTAGTGCTTGCTGGTCAGACACCTGTTTCAGAATGCATACCTGGTCAGGAGTGAAACACCTCTTCATCCCCAGCCACAGGCCTCATCTTGAGCATTCTTTGGTTCGCTATGGCACTATATGCTGCACAGTTGCGATGTTTGTTACTAATTCTCCGTTCACGGCTTCACAGCATTAATCCAAGAGGATCTATCATTCCTCTTGGACCAGACCTGAGAGTCAGGACAGACCTTCCTTTCCCGCCTTGCTGTAGGATAGGGCTATTCAACTGGTGGCATGTGGGCCAGATTTGGCCCACACAAGTCTAGCTAAATGGCCAGTTGTATTGTATTAATGATCTTTCATTGCTGGGGCTCAAGCCTTCAGCCGGTGGTGATCCCCCTTTTTAAGATTATGGCAACTGTGTTAACTTAGTTGAATAGCCCTGCTGTAGGCAATGGACTGTCCAGTATATCCTGCCAATGACAAGTAAAGAACCATTTTCCATTGTACGGGATAGAATGGAATGGAAGAGCAAACTGCAAGCCCTATGTGACGTATGATGGCACAACAGGATCAGGATGACTGCTTCACCAAATACTACCGCTATAATTTAAAATCATTTGTACTCAAGTGGGTTTTTGAACATCTTATCCCTACTGTGTAAGACGCTGTGGTGCCCCAGGTTGACCCAGCCTTAAATGAGTATACCAGGTGAAGTCTTGGGAAAAAAAGGTGGCCAGCGGGCTGTTGACTACATCACCAACCGAGTGCTGACTGGTCAATAAAATATAGGTCTCGCCCTGTTTGCCCAGTCATCCTGAAAGTGTTGAAAAGGGTCTTTTACTTCACTTACAATACCCATTGTGTTTACTTTACCTACTATACCTACTGTGTTTACCTACTATACCTAATGTATTTACTTTACTTCCTATACCTACTGTGTTTACTTTACTTACTATGCCCACTGTGTTTAGTTTACTTACTATACCTACTGTGTTTACTTTATTTACTATACCCACTGTGTTTACTTTACTTACTATACCCACTGTGTTTACTTTACTTACTATACCCACTGTGTTTACTTTACTTGCTATGCCCACTGTTTACTTTACTTGCTATACCTACAGTGTTTACTTTACTTGCTACACCTACTATTTTACTTACTATACCCACTGTGTTTACTTTACTTACTATATCCACTGTGTTTACTTTACTTGCTATACTTATTGTGTTTACTTTACTTGCTATACCTACTGTGTTTACTTTACTTACTATACCCACTGTGTTTACTTTACTTTCTATACCTACTGTGTTTACTTTACTTACTATACCTACTGTGTTTACTTTACTTTCTATACCTACTGTGTTTACTTTACTTACTATGCCCACTGTGTTTACTTTACTTACTCTGCCCACTGTGTTTACTTTAATTACTATACCTACTGTGTTTACTTTACTTACTATACCTACTGTGTTTACTTTACTCACTATACCTACTGTGTTTATTTACTATACCCACTGTGTTTACTTTACTTACTATACCTACTGTGTTTATTTTCCTTGCTATACCTACTGTGTTTACTTTATTTACTATACCTACTGCGCTTACTTTACTTACTATACCTACTGTGTTTACTTTATTTACTATACCCACTGTGTTTACTTTACTTACTTTACTTACTGTGTTTACTTTATTTATTATACCTACTGTGTTTACTTTATTTACTATACCTACTGCGTTTACTTTACTTACTATACCTACTGTGTTTACTTTATTTACTATACCCACTGTTTTCACTTTACTTACTATACCCACTGTGTTTACTTTATTTACTTTACCTACTGTGTTTACTTTACTTACCATGCCCACTGCGTTTACTTTACTTACTATACCTACTGTGTTTACTTTATTTACTATACCTACTGTGTTTACTTGATTTACTATACCAACTGTTTTTCCTTTATTTACTATGCCCACTGTGTTTACTTTACTTACTATACCTACTGTGTTTACTTTATTTACTATACCTACTGTGTTTACTTTTCTTACCATACCCACTGTGTTTACTTTACTTACTATACCTACTGTGTTTACTTTATTTACTATACCTACTGTGTTTACTTTACTTACTATACCTACTGTGTTTACTTTATTTACTATACCTACTGTGTTTACTTTATTTACTATACCTACTGTGTTTACTTTATTTACTATACCTACTGTGTTTACTTTATTTACTATAACTACTGTGTTTACTTTATTTACTATACCTACTGTGTTTACTTGATTTACTATACCCACTGTTTTTCCTTTATTTACTATGCCCACTGTGTTTACTTTACTTATTATACCTACTGTGTTTACTTTATTTACTATACCTACTGTGTTTACTTTTCTTACCATACCCACTGTGTTTACTTTACTTACTATACCTACTGTGTTTACTTTACTTACCATGCCCACTGTGTTTACTTTACTTGCTATACCTACTGTGTTTACTTTACTTACTATACCCACTGTGTTTACTTTACTTACCATACCCACTGTACTTTACTTACTGTACCCACTGTGTTTACTTTACTTACTATACCCACTGTGTTTACTTTACTTACTATACCCACTGTGTTTACTTTACTTGCTATGCCCACTATTTACTTTACTTACGATACCTACTGTGTTTACTTTACTTACTATATCCACTGTGTTTACTTTACTTGCTATACTTATTGTGTTTACTTTACTTGCTATACCTACTGTGTTTACTTTACTTACTTTACCCACTGTGTTTACTTTACTTTCTATACCTCCTGTGTTTACTTTACTTACTATACCTACTGTGTTTACTTTACTTTCTATACCTACTGTGTTTACTTTACTTACTATGCCCACTGTGTTTACTTTACTTACTCTGCCCACTGTGTTTACTTTAATTACTATACCTACTGTGTTTACTTTACTTACTATACCTACTGTGTTTACTTTACTCACTATACCTACTGTGTTTATTTACTATACCCACTGTGTTTACTTTACTTACTATACCTACTGTGTTTATTTTCCTTGCTATACCTACTGTGTTTACTTTATTTACTATACCTACTGCGTTTACTTTACTCACTATACCTACTGTGTTTACTTTATTTACTATACCCACTGTGTTTACTTTACTTACTTTACTTACTGTGTTTACTTTATTTATTATACCTACTGTGTTTACTTTATTTACTATACCTACTGCGTTTACTTCACTTACTATACCTACTGTGTTTACTTTATTTACTATACCCACTGTTTTCACTTTACTTACTATACCCACTGTGTTACTTTATTTACTATACCTACTGTGTTTACTTTACTTACCATGCCCCCTGCGTTTACTTTACTTACTATACCTACTGTGTTTACTTTATTTACTATACCTACTGTGTTTACTTGATTTACTATACCCACTGTTTTTCCTTTATTTACTATGCCCACTGTGTTTACTTTACTTACTATACCTACTGTGTTTACTTTATTTACTAAACCTACTGTGTTTACTTTTCTTACCATACCCACTGTGTTTACTTTACTTACTATACCTACTGTGTTTACTTTATTTACTATACCTACTGTGTTTTCTTTACTTACTATACCTACTGTGTTTACTTTATTTACTATACCTACTGTGTTTACTTTATTTACTATACCTACTGTGTTTACTTTATTTACTATACCTACTGTGTTTACTTTATTTACTATAACTACTGTGTTTACTTTATTTACTATACCTACTGTGTTTACTTTATTTACTATACCTACTGTGTTTACTTTATTTACTATACCTACTGTGTTTACTTTACTTACTATACCTACTGTGTTTACTTTACTTACTATACCTACTGTGTTTACTTTATTTACTATACCTACTGTGTTTACTTTACTTACTATACCTACTGTGTTTACTTTACTTACTATACCTACTGTGTTTACTTTATTTACTATACATACTGTGTTTACTTTATTTACTATACCTACTGTGTTTACTTTATTTACTATACCTACTGTGTTTACTTTATTTACTATACCTACGGTGTTTACTTTATTTACTATACCTACTGTGTTTACTTTATTTACTATACCCACTGTGTTTACTTTACTTACTATACCTACTGTGTTTACTTTATTTACTATACCTACTGTGTTTACTTTATTTACTATACCTACTGTGTTTACTTTACTTACTATACCTACTGTGTTTACTTTACTTACTATACCTACTGTGTTTACTTTATTTACTATACCTACTGTGTTTACTTTACTTGCTATACCCACTGTGTTTACTTTACTTGCTATACCCACTGTGTTTACTTTATTTACTATACCTACTGTGTTTTCTTTACTTACTATACCTACTGTGTTTACTTTATTTACTATACCTACTGTGTTTACTTTATTTACTATACCTACTGTGTTTACTTTATTTACTATACCTACTGTGTTTACTTTATTTACTATAACTACTGTGTTTACTTTATTTACTATACCTACTGTGTTTACTTTATTTACTATACCCACTGTGTTTACTTTACTTACTATACCTACTGTGTTTACTTTATTTACTATACCTACTGTGTTTACTTTATTTACTATACCTACTGTGATTACTTTATTTACTATACCTACTGTGTTTACTTTTCTTACCCTGCCCACTGTGTTTACTTTATTTACTATACCTACTGTGTTTACTTTACTTACTATACCTACTGTGTTTACTTTACTTACTATACCTACTGTGTTTACTTTACTTACTATACCTACTGTGTTTACTTTATTTACTATACCTACTGTGTTTACTTTATTTACTATACCTACTGTGTTTACTTTATTTACTATACCTACGGTGTTTACTTTATTTACTATACCTACTGTGTTTACTTTATTTACTATACTCACTGTGTTTACTTTACTTACTATACCTACTGTGTTTACTTTATTTACTATACCTACTGTTTTTACTTTATTTACTATACCTACTGTGTTTACTTTATTTACTATACCTACTGTGTTTACTTTTCTTACCCTGCCCACTGTGTTTACTTTACTTACTATACCTACTGTGTTTACTTTATTTACTATACCTACTGTGTTTACTTTACTTGCTGTACCCACTGTGTTTACTTTACTTGCTATACCCACTGTGTTTACTTTACTTGCTATACCTACTGTGCTTACTGTACTTACTATACCCACTGTGTTTACTTTACTTCCTATACCCACGGTGTTTACTTTACTTACTATACCTACTGTGTTTACTTTACTTACTATACCTACTGTGTTTTTTGGTTTAAATTTCAGGTTATCCTACAGTCGTTTCTAAGTCTAAGGAAAGTTCACAATCCTCAAGAAAGGAGTAAGTAGCATATATTTTCAACATCTTGCAAGGAGACATTCATACAATCTGCTGGGCAAAGATGAAGAGTCTAACAAACTTGGTATAGTCTTTGCTGATGGGTTTTAGGTAACCAAACCCCCCCCCAACCCCCCAAATGGATGCTGAAATTTCTTTTTATAAATATATGGTAATCAGCATTGAACTAGCTTTTGAATGACATCCTCCCTGTTTTAGTTCTTCACCTTAGTTTGGGGAAGGGGGGGGGGGGGATATACTAACTTCTTTCCTAACAAGCGTGTCATAAAAGGAGACTAATTATGGCATGTGTACTTCAAAGTCAGAGTGTATCTGCCTGAGAGGCCAGGAACCAACAGTCTCCATACATGTAAGATAGATCTGTAAAATGGATGTGCATGCCAAACTCACTTTCTGGAACAAAATGAAAGTCCAGTTGTAGGCGAACTACCAGAATTTTCCTCCAAAGTTTACAGTCGGTGGACACTAAGAAAAAGAAGAAGAAAAAGAAGAAGAAGAAAAAGAAGAAGAAGATTGACATCCATTAAAAGCTTGTGTATCTTCTGCCTTGTATCACCTGGTAAAGTATAGTGTCTCAACTAAGTCATGCCAAACCCCACACTGATGTACCATTTCCTCGAGCCTCTCCATATCCTTCCCATATTTTTAATCTGTCTCAAATTCTCTTCTTCATAAGTTTTGAAGTTTCTGCTTTGTTTATCATGTGGATTCCAGAGAAATGACATTTTAAATATACTATTAACAAGTTTTTGTCTCTCTATCCAATACCCTTTTGTTTAGTTTTCTATAACCTCAGCATTAGTAATTGTGTAATTCTGTTTTGAGTTATTCTGTTCTGTGCAAGCACTAACAAATGAATTTTTCTAATTTAATAGTATTTGTTTTAGTTGTTTTCTGCACTTCTAACCCAAAGAGCTTTACTACAATGTCGTCATGATAGTTATCTCATGCCATATTTTTTAGTAAGTTTGTGTCTCGCTAGTAATGTTGATTTTTCCTTTTTTCAGTAATCACCTTTAGTTGTGTTAATGATTACATGTCCTTGTTTTAATATAATAAGCAAAACTATTAATGAGACTTTTAAAATATATTTTTCAACTGTCATAATTTTATTGAGCTGTATTCAATATAACACTTTCAGTCCCAGAACTTTTCGCAGCATTTGCTGAAGAAGATAATTAACCATTTCGAAAAATCATGAGTACAAAATTTCAGAGGCATCTGTGCATGACAGATGCCTTTAGTATTCTTTGACTAAATGCAAAAATATAACAACATATTGCGTAATGTTTATAATTCATAAACACAAGCTTATCACACATGATGCGCTGCTTGGGACTGAAAGAGTTAAATCATTTAATGTTTTTACAGTTACATATATGCTACTGTATGACATTAACACTGCTAGAACATGTCAGCTCTATACAGCAGTACTGGTTTGACATTAAAGACAAGTATTTTAAGTTTGGTACTAGTTATTAATTTTTTTTAACTTTCACAGATTTCTTAGTGCTATGAAAACGTCTCTTGCCTTTTGTTTTCACATTTTTATATCCTATAAGTTTCCCCATGTTATGCACACAAAACTCAAGTTCTGGAACAAACTAAAGTTCAGAAGTGGAAGAACAACCAAAACTTTCTGCCGCAGTTTACAGCTGGTGAACGATAGCAAAAAGAAGGCAAAAAGAAGACTGCCTAAACAAGTGTATGATTCTACATCTTGTCGTGGGATTACAAAAAAGATTGGCTGTTTTTTTGTTGGTTTTTTTGCATGGTTTATTCTCATTGGAAGCTGCTGTGGTATAGCGACTAGACACTTGCATGTAGATCTGAATGCCATCGTTTCAAATCCAAATATAGCTGAAGTTTTTTTTTTT